TTTAGGGAGCCTTTTTTTTGGGGGGAAGGTTTTAATTCCGGTTTTGGTTTCGCCCCCGAAAAAAAAAAAAAGGGGGCGGACCACCAATGCGAAAACTAACCCAGAACACCCCGAAACTTTACCCCCCCGCACAAAAAAGCCACCAGCCGTTCACCCGCCCTTGGAGTTTAAATTAACAAGACGGGCGGGAGTTTTGGCCCGGGCGTTAAGCCCCGCCGACCCCCTTCCAATTTCCAGCAGGGGCCAAGCCATGACAGCCAAAAGGCCCAGACAGGAAAACCGGGGGGGGTACGGGTTTTGGTGTTCCGCGCCCCTTCGTGGTTAGCCCAGAACCCACGGGGGGAGAAACCCTTTTTGGGTTCCCAGAGGCCCAATGGTTCCCGGGGGGGGGGGGGGGGGGCGTACTCTAATGTTTTGCGTGCCTTAGCGGTTAGACCATAAACCACGCGCGGACGGAGCCTTGTTCCCACAGAATCGATCGGATAAGAAAAAATGCCTCCTCCTCCTCCTCCTCCTTCTCGCGCACCTGATACAGACGAGTCTTCTTCTCGAGGCCGGCGGAGCGGATGGCGTTCAGCAGGCGGAGGACGCCCACGCCGTCCGCCTCGGCGGTGTACTCCGACATCTCGAACGACACCTTCACGTGGGACATGGCGCCCAGGTTGTAGATCTCGTCCGGCTGCACCTGTTGTGTTGTGTTGTGTGTTCGCAACGCGCGTTACAGCAGTGTAGCGTCCGTACGTTGTGTAGCGGAGGGGGGCGCGTTTGTTGTCGATTGACACAACGTCATCGAAATCGGAGAGAGAGAGAGAGAGGGAGAGAGAGAGAGGGAGACAGAGAGAGAGAGGGAGAGGGAGAGAGGGAAGACGGTCGTCAGAGGTTTTGGAAATTGCGGGGTGGGCATTGGGGTTTCCATGGTGGTTGGCGTTGTTCGCCCATCCAACGCGGTGTTGAGGTGCACTATATTAGTACCATAGTGATCATCGACGAGTGCCTCGAAACGAAACGGAAACAAGGCACACGTATACATAACGCCTACAGTACGCACCTCGTAGATGATGTGCATGAGGTTGGTGGAGTCGGTGAGGTCGCCGTAGTGCAGCTTCAGGCGGACGGCGCTCTCGTGGCGGTCGCGGTAGATGTGGTCGATGCGCTGGGTGTTGAAGCTCGACGACCGGCGGATGATGCCGTGAACCTCGTAGCCCTGTATGCACCCGGAGGGAGGAGGGGGAGGATTACACCGGGTTGTCGTTTCGCGGGCGATTCCATTATTTACTTTTTTTTTTCTTGTGAAAACAGAGCGAATTTCATCGCTGTTCGCGCCACGAGGCATGGGACGGGACAGGGCGCGGGGAGACAAAAAAGCAGGCAAGATGTGGGGCGCCATGAAAAGCGAGAAACATCTCGGGCAATCCGGGTGTAGTGGAGCTCGCGGGTCATGCGCACGGGTGCAGGTTTCGCTACATTTAGGCGGGGGGGGGGTACTCATAGTCGTGCATGCTGTAGTCGTTAGACGATTGGCGAGGGGGAAGGCACACATGATGGGGTTTCCACGGCCAAATCGGGGATTCCTTCCGTTTCGTGACCCACCTTCTCGAGGAGGAACTCGGCGAGGTAGGACCCATCCTGGCCCGTGATTCCGGTGATGATCGCCTTCTTCATGGGCGAATCAGTTTTAGTCGTAGTCTCTGCCATGGTTGATTGGTGTGCGTGTTGTGGCTGGTCCGGGAACGGGTGCGGGGGGAGTGTGGAAGAGAACGGGGTACAGAGGGGACGAAGGTTTAGATGTTGGGTTCGCTGTTGTTGATCCGGGTCAACTGCAACAGAGAGAGAGAGAGAGCGACAGACAAACAGACGGGCAGACAGAGAGAACGACAGTTCACAATAGGAAGATGCCACAAAATGACCGCTGTGTAGGTTTCAGTGTCAGGGGTTCTTAAACGAGCTCACACCTGGTGCTCAACACAGGTTCAGATTTTGAGTTTTTCGAGGTGATGATATTTTTCTTGACTACAAAGTTCTGATGTGCGGGAGCTAGTTGTACAAGTAGTGCCCCAGTGTGATCGCGCTGTGTCCTGGATGCCTGGGCAACGAAAGGAGGACTGCTACAATTGCAATACTTGTAGCAGTGTATACCCCCAATACTTCAGTCGAGGTCCCGAAAGAGTGCTGGTTGTATGAGCCAGCCACCGGTACTATTCAGAACAGGGGGATATAGGCTATAGCTCAATCCGAGCCGGCCGATTTCACGGGCACTAAATACAAGTTGGTCGGCACTATTCAACCGGCACTATATCGGGACCTCGACTCTATATTACAGAGACGTGTGGGAATAAAAATAACTGAGACCCGTGCGTGATCCGTGTCGGGAGAACGTGAACGGGTCGCGTCTGTTTTTTTTATTCTTAATATAACACAACGAATCCATCTCTATCGTAGAAAAGAGTCAGAGACAGATTAGCAATCAATTCATAGCGTCAGAAATTACCTGTATGTCTACGATTTCCCAGACAGCATACAGGGACATCTCCCCTGCGGGTAACGATTTTTTGTTTTTATATTGTATATTTTCTTCTCAGAATTCAACCCGACGAATCCATCTCTATCCATAGTTTTTTTTTTCTTTCTATCCGTGAGCGTTGTTTAGAAAGGTTGAACGTTGGACGACACAAGCGAAAGGGTCGGACGGATCTCTTGCTAGAAGTAGGCACATACAACGGACGGTAGTACTTTTTAGTCATGTGGCTGCTGCTGTTCGGAGAACCTGTCGGATTATGTCTCAGAAGATGTACATACACTGCTGTATTGTTTTTACTCCACACCTCAGAATTCCGGACGGGGCATCCTTTCAAAACCATCCATCGATCTTCTCGACACACACACCCTAATTGTACATAAAGGGTGGGATTATTCGTCTGCGCGGGCACACACACGGGGGGCTGTCTCTCTTTCTGTCCGGCGCCCCACGTACGTACCACAGATTGATGCCGTCTGTTCCCCGCCCACAAACAAACACTCATCATTGCCGTTGGGGCCTGCACAATCTATTACAGGAAGGAAAGGTACTGATTACGAGAACGACGGGAGCGGAGGAATACCGCAGCTGGTATGCCTTCTGCTGTGCTGCTGTCTGTGTCGCGCCAAAGGGAAAATAGACCATACGCAGTTATTGTCTTTCCCTCGTCACGTCAAGTCGCAAATGTACTATGCATACTGCTTACTCTTACGCATACTTCGGAGTACATATTGCTGTGCGAAAAATTGGGTGGCGTGAGATTGATGGCCACGGCACCGGATCAATTTTTCGACTTTTTTGGGAAAAGTAGGACGGGTAGTCTTTTCTGTTAAATTAAATTACGTAAATGCATATGCTGCATTTTCCAGAATATGCACACAGCCAGTCAGTACACGGCAAAAATTGTCACCCATGTGATGATAAACTTGAGAAATGCGTAAATTATGGTTACATCTCGAACGGGTAGCTCTACTGCCGCCGCCGGCAAAAGGAGTAATAAAGCACGCGGCGCGCGCGTCTTACCTCTCCCACGCCCGACACTTTTTACTGAGAGGAAAGAAAGGGCGACATGTCACTGCTGTACACTCAATTCTCCCAGATCATTCATCCGCGTGTGGAAGGCGCGATCGACGATCTGCTGCTCCTGGTGCCATCCGTGCTGGTTGTGTGTGTGTACATGTATCGACGGCGCGCAAAAGGTCTGGCCAAATTGGTATCTACCTCATAGACCATTTCCTGTAAAAATGATACCAGGTACTCTGCAGTTGGTGTCCTATCCGTTGTTTTGCCTATAGAGACACCCCGACTCACCAACCTAACTACAGCAAGCATATGCGGGACAAGAATCGGAAAGCCTTCTACCGGACAGTGTGCGGCCTGAGGAAATGGGCGTAAGTGCTGCGTGGCGTCTTCCGCTGCTGCTGTGACCAGAGGCTAAAGTGTGCCGTATGCGGGGAGATTCATAACTACATTATTACCTGTAAATACAGTGGTGGTCCTGCGCTGTGAACACATGAACTGCTGTACAACGAGCCGAGCCGCTTTTTAGAAGATGTGCTCGTTGTGAGCTGGCCACACGGGTCATTTTTGACAGGGGCGTGCGTGATATACATGACCCACACGGTGCACGCAGTCTACCGGGCAACCCATGTCACACACTGCCAGTCACAACGTCTGTGTGTGGAGTGGAGGGCATGCTGCTCCTGCTGCTGCTGCTGCTGCTGCTGCTGCTCCGGCTGCTGCTGCTGCTCGGTTGTTCTTTTTCGCTCCGAATCTACTGAATAAATCTGACGCGCCCTCTGCCACCGCTGTCCGCCGGCAACGCCGTGCCGCACCACTTTACGGCCACAAAGCAAGCTGCAGGTGTTGGCGTTGTGGCCTCGGTTTAGGGCTAGGAGGTTACCTGCCCGCACGCGGCTGCTGCTGCTTTTCGCCTGCCTGTCTCTCTCGTTTCGAACAATGCACGTCTCACACACTCCACGCACCCGCAAGCGAGAAAAAGAGAACCAACCCCATCGGATCACACCACACATGCCACGGGCGCCGAACGCAATGAGCAAGCACGTAACGACCCTGTCACCTATCGTCCGGCGCACTTGTTGTCCGATACGTTGATCGCTTGAACTCACCGAACGCTGGGGAGAAGAGTGATGCGGGGTGTGAGAGGTATGTGGTAGGGTAGAGACGGCAGCGTGGGGCAAAACAAAATGATGAAACTTCGTTGTTGTGCTGTGATAAAAAAAAAAAGATAGGAGAGAGAGGATATTGAAATCATGGTCCGCAGAAGCAAGAACAAATCCAACGCTCGAGCGGACAAACAGCAGTGTACGAGAACGCTATCTGCGATGCCCCCTCCTTGACCCGAAAAACAAACAGCAAAGAAACCCTCACTCTCTCTGTACATACACCAGACACAACCAGACCAGACCAAACAGACAGTCGTTCAGACAGCGATTCCTGTTTTCGCGAGACTTGTGATAGAGCCTCTTGTTTGAACAAAGGAGTAAAAAAAAAGGGTCGTCTGCGTTACGAAAAACTAAAATTAACTGCTGACCACATACATACGTCCATATATATATACCGACCGTTGTTAGTTGTTGTTGTTGTTGTTGTCTTCACATTAAAAAACCGTTCCGTTCTCTCTGCTCAGTACCTTCTTCTGTCGGTACTAGTCTTCTAACACTTGACGGGGTCGATTCCGACCGGTGGAGGCCAGGAAAGATCAGGCCTCAATGCACACAAGTTTGCTACTGTTGTTACTGCTGCTGTGTGAGGGTCAGGTTAAGGTTACAGGGTGGGGTAGAAGGAAGGAGATGAAGAATGAAAGAGATGATTGAAGGGAAGCGGGGCGAACAAATAAATGAACGCGGGGCGGGGGGGTGGGCACACACGACGACGACGACGATGACACTTTTCTCATAATCTCCTCGAACGTCAAATATATCCGAAATCCTTCTCGTCGTTACCTTGCCTTCTTTGTGCTTGATCGTCATCACTGGCGCTTTCTTACTATTTATTGGATACCATTTTGTTTGGTGGAGACCTGAGACCTGTATCCATATTACGCACATGGCATGTGGGTGAAAGTATACTGACTGGTTGTTGTATGCATTCAGACAGGTGGTTTGTTTCTTCGGAGATTGGATGGAAAGTCGCACGCTGAACTACTGACTACATACATACGCATACATACAGCAGCAGGAGGATCGATTGTAGTACCATTTTTCTGTTGCGAGTTGCGACAGACATTCCCATGTTCCAGGTCAATCAAGCAGGGTTGCGACACAGACAAGAAACGGTCAGTCGCGCCCCCATCATTAATGTTGACATATTGACATATATATTAGGCAAATATATCCATGTCAACCAAGCAGCAGGTAGAAGAGGAGAGTGAGAGTGGCGTTCACGCAGGCACGAAGATGTACATATAGCTGTCGTTCACACGGGCATGAAGATGTATTCATTGTAGCTGCTATAGGTCTACAGGTTGTTGGTTATCGCCAAAACGGGAGAACGCAGAATCCCGAACATACTATCAATAGTCTACCCCTCGAATCCATTGATGGGACGGCGCAGCAGTTGGTTGGATGATCTGTCTAGATATATTCTAAGGCAGAATGAGGACTGGCTGACTCCGGACTACTCCTAGCTCAGGTTGCCGCGAGAGTTAGCTGGTAGAACTGACCTACGTAATCGAACACGGCGTGTGGATATTATAAAAATGGCATTGCCCATTCGTTCCGCATGCAGTCTAGACTATGTGTAGATTCAAACAACATATTTTGTTTCGTGTTTTTGTGCCGAAAAAAGAAGGAACGGCGTATCAGCAAACATCGCGTCCCGGGCTCTTCCACTATTTATTACCCCATCCGCCTCTATCTCCGTTGGAACATGAACGATATTCACAACAAGACGGCACCCTCTTGCCATCACCGTCGTCAGCCGCTGAACGTGCAAAAGTTGCGGCCGTCGTCGCCTTCCAGCAGCACGGCGTACTTCTTGTCCAGCGCAACCTGCTCCTCGCTCGGGGCCCTCCTCCAGCCCCTCCTGGCCCCCCTTTCCACCAGAATCTCGCAAATGCGCGCACGGCTCGCCATCACCCGCGACCAGCGGCGGCGGCACAGGGAACGAGACGACGGAGAAGGCGAGCGTGCACCAACGCCGCCGACGTGCGAAGTCTCTTCCCCGCACTGTCGTCCCCTCTCGGCGGCCAGTGACATCCTCTCTACGTCGTGATCCTCCTCTCTCACCCCCTGCTCGTCCCGGGCACCGTCGTTACGGGTGAGGTGGTAGCGGTTCACTGCTGCCGCTCCCGCCGCGATCTCGGCCGCCTTCCCTTTGGTGGCGACGTCGTCACCTGCTTCCGGCGAGGTGTCGTCGGTCGCGCGGAACCCGTCCGTTTCTGCCGGTTCTTCCGCGAGAGTCAGAGGCATCACGTCGCCCTGAGGCAAGTAACCAAGCGAGTAAGCAAGGAGACAGGAGTCACGATCGCGGGCAGGGGGAAAACGGGCGGGGGAGACAGGCACAGCAGTACACAGACATGCTTCCAGTCGAAGCGGACGCAGCAAGCCGAGCGCGGAACACATATATATTCACCAACGACGCAACCACAACTGCTGTACAAAAGACGACGACAACGACGACGACGACGACGACGACGACGACGACGACGACGACGACGACATCAGGTATGACTGGCCCGCGGGTTGGCTGGCGGTCTTATCTTCTTCGAGAATGCACCGACAACCTCCAGGGTCAATATTACAGAGTTGCGCCCCGCAGCAGACGTCGCGTTGATGTCGTGTCAGACCGTTTCGCACTCTTACCTTGGCATTGCCTAGGGGAGCCATCTGCAGTGTGAGATGACATCCCTGACCACGACGTGTCAAAATCGAAGCCCTATCTCTCCCCGCGCAAAAGCCGATAACCTTCGGGTTGGATCTGAAAGTTAACGACAATGATCCACTTCTATGCACAACCCCCGGGGTGGGTGGGTGGGTAGGTGGCCCTTGTACTTCACAGAACAACCGCTCCGTCAACTTGGCGTCCGTGGGGGAGTAACTACAGCGCTAGTGCAATGGTTGGCGCATCAAATACCTTTGCGACGGCGTTGACGTCTGCTCCAAGCTCGATCAGCCGCCGAGCTGCCTCGAAGAGCCCTCTTCGAACAGCCACGTGCAGCGGGGTGCGGAAGTCCGACTTTCTCTGGATATATATGTAGACGCAGACAACAGTATTATAGTGTAATTGGGTGCGCGTTCCGGCGACTCAGCATTTTTTCCTCCGAAAGCATATATCAAGCCATAGAAGGACAAGGGCGATGCGGAGGTTAGAGCGATGATCTGGTCAGTCAGGTATTGTCCCGAGTCAATGTCGAGTGTGGACGCCTGCGAATGTACCTGCACATCCTCGTCAAGAGAAGTGCATATCGAGGAGATGGAGGTTAGACCGTGACTAGATCCGAGCACCGTGGATGACAGCAGTGACGGGGTGACGGCTCTTCGGACGAGCACGTGCCTCTCTGGGCACGAAGTAGACAAAATTGATCATTCTTTGATTTACTCTACGTACCATGCTAGCACCATCGAAAAAGGAATGGGAGAGAGAAGCTGCAAGCATCACGAGCAACGTAAACCACAACAAGCTTGCTACGAGAAATCAATCTTGACAAGTAGCGCGCATGCCGCCATGCGTCGGGGGGCCGTACGCCTACCTGCACATCCGGGGGCATACCCGCCTCCGTCACCAGGAAGTCAATCGCCGGAACAACGTCGATTCCGTCTTGCTCTTCGTCGCAACCGTCGACCAACCAGTGCACGGCCTCCAGCACGGCGTGGAATTCGACATCAAGACCATGATCGACCATGAATCTCATCTGCGACATCGTACATTTTTATACGTTCACCGAGCTTGCATGTTTGGAAACAACCGGAAGCCTGAGGACAGCACCAAGGGAGTGCATGGCTGGGCGTGCTCCTAGCGCTGGTACAGAGGAGAACGACGGTGGTGCGTGTGGCGTGAAGCTTCAACGCAAGTGAAAGCCCCCCCGCTGGGACGCTTCATCCGGTCTAATCCTGGAAATGATTTTAGCCAATGAGCGATCACAGCCTAACGCAGACGCGGACTGCTAGAACCGCCGGCGCTTGATGAAGGTTCTCCGTTCATGAAGAAACCGCCGACGGTGGAAGAAACGTTCGGCCAACGTCGATAATTCTACTTCTATCCCGAGAATCCTACTTGTGCGCGTTGTTGGTGATTCCCCTGCTCAATCTCTGGATTGGTTTTGCGTAGTTGCCTTCTGCTTGGGCTCCAGCTAAACGTTGCAATGAGGACTGGCAAAAGTTGCGGTGCAAGTCCGGCACCTATTTCCCGCCCGCTAACCGCTAACTCTCCTAATTGACGCGATAAAACATGTTCACGTGTGTGTCTCCTTGTGCACCACAACGAAACGTGGGAGAAGCCTCACGTCGGTCGATTGCGTCTACACCTTCTTGTGTGACAATTTCCAGCCACTCCCTTTCCTTTCCCTTACCGTTTGCAAGTGGTTGTGCGCGCACGCCTCCTTGAACATTCGCACCGTGAACCACGCGAGCATTTCCCCACGAGGACAGCTTCTTGAGACTTGGTCCATGTCCCGCAGTCGACCCTCCCTGAAACAATTATTACGCACACCGTGCGTGCCATTGAGTATTTTTGCCACGCGCTACAAGAAAGCGCCTTGCTTGAAAGTAACAAACAGCTGAGCGTTCCTTCGAAATTCGATTATGGTGTTCCCGTGCTGCACCACCTAGTCGTTCGTTTTCTTGCCGTGTAGACTATTTCCCGGTGTCTCTCGCAGGATGTGTGTCTACCTACCCCGCACGGCGTTTACAGCTAGGAGCCCCGTTCCGGGGTCACACAGAAAGATTAATCTGCTTCTACGGCGTTAATTGTTAACGCCAAAGGAATCCCGCCGCCCTTTTTTCTCAAGTATACTTACGATCTACCCCTTCCCGTATACCAGTCACATGCATGATATTATAGGAATCACAACGCGCGCCGCGAATCGACCACCCCAAGTACAATACTACAAAAAAAAAATCTACCGCTACGTGAGCCTCATGCTCAAAGCAACTGTTTCCCACGAGCGGGCCGGCACTCTGTGCTTCCAATGCGTTCAGTGGTCTACCCTTTGCACCTTTCACAACCTGCTGTGTGTACCACCTACGTTCTGTTCTCGTTCCTACCTCGCGAAACGGACTAGGAGCTGGCCCCGTCGCATCATGAGTTCGGTCTTGATCGGGTCGCTGTCTCTCTCTCGCCGCACCTGGCACCCCAGCGAGATGACGCACGTCATGTACGTAAATTAGGATCTACTCCAGGCAGAGACAGGATACTCGGTCCATACCAGGTAGTCCACTGCAGTTAACTGTTTTTGTTTCTTTTGCTTTCAAAATGACGACGAATTCATGTCTCTTCCATGGAAAAGAGTTCGGGATGATAGTGTTGTACGATGACGAACTTGTATTTCTACCGTTCCCCGAGAAGTATATAGAACTAATAGCGTTCGTTATCTCCCCTGTGGGTAACAACTCAACAACACAGTTTCAGTTAGGTGGCAATCTTGTGTACAGTTTGCGCCCGCTTGTAAGAAACGCCAATTTGTGGCCAGGTCGAGGCCCAATTTCTTCGTCACCACCGTCTAGCATATTGTAGGTCATTTGTAGTCGAGAGTGTAGACTAGTCTGCATATGATCCACGGCTGAGGCGTGTTTCGTGTTTATTTTGTGGGTTATTCTTGTGTATCTCCAAGGTCTGAGTCTTTATTTCTCGAAGGTTTGTACTCAAGGTTATTATCACGTTCGCCAACTGTACTTGGCTACAGTACATGTGTGTGTATGAAGTACAAGGCCGCCGGGCTCGGACGCCGCAGGCGCCCTAGCTCTCGGGGTAAGGCTAAACGGAAGGGCGGTGCGTGAGGACTGCTGTGCACAGCATATCAAGAATATCAAGGGCACAAAGCTGGAAAAAAAGAGGTTCGAGTAAATGTTGCGACGTGACGGAAAATAAATCCGAACGTCCTACTTTCATTCAATCATTTGCGGTTCGTCCGTGGAAAATCAATTATACGATCGGAACGGTTTTTAATGTGAAGACAACAACAACAACAACAACAACAACAACCTTCGAATGCCGACGTAAACCATTGCCATTCCAACGTCCGTGAAAAATGTGGTATGACTCGAAAGACCAGTAAATGGTTGAATGTTTTTTTGTGCTACAGGCCTCCAGTTTTGTAACGGTGGGAGTATCCGACGGCAAGCGGGTGTATCCGACGAAGTATAGTTATGCTGGGAAGGTGGAGAGGAAGATGTTGGGAAGATGTTGGGAAGATGGTGGACGGCGGGTTTTTTGTTGGGCCCTTGGCTGAATGCCCACAAGAGAGCCGGCATTGTGTGCGTGCGCGCAGATTCATTTGATTTGATGGGGAATACGTGGTACAAATGGATTTGATTGGAGAAACTTGTGTTGCTACGCGTTGTGTATCGAAAACAAAAGAAGAATAATTACATGTAAGGTGAGCAGGTACACCGTTCAGGCAGCTACATGAACGAGTAGACTACAGAGGATCTCCACGATCTTGTGTTGTGTTGATGTACCGTGGTGCGGTAACACATTGTGTAGTATATAGTGCTCCCTGTTTCATCGTCGGGTTGTGGTTGGTGTAGCACGTATGTATAGTATAGGTATATCTCCGCGAATGAATGTGGCGCACAGCAAGCGCACCTCGACACGAACACATTTGCAAGTACTGTAGGTTTGAATCGGCTTGGATCACACCATCGGTCAACTATGTTGTACAGGTATGTAGACTGCAGACCCACGCCTACCTGCCGCCGACCACAGAAGAAGAAAACGGCAGGCTAAAGTACACGTAGTACAGAAACCTACATTACACCGTGGTTGATACGTGAAGACGTGTAGACCAGCTGGTGTAGACGTGTGGATACGTGGATACAGCACTACATAGTCTGGATACCGTTCGCACGCCCCCCTGTTCAGCTACTCAGGTATCCGTCTCCTTACCCTACTCAGTTGCTCGTCGATTGTCTCCGTGGTGGCAAAGATACGCGATTGACGATCCCCCCAGGTGACGGTTGCACTGGGAGCGGCCACAGCTGACTGCTGCATGCCATGGGAAAGGCCTCCCTCGTCGCACTGCTTCCCATCCCCCCCGGGTGTGCATGGCCTAGCTTCGCTCATCGACGCACCCAACCGGAGTTTGTGTGCTGTTATTACGTGTGTGCGATCCAGTCGTGCCGCCGTGCCCTCAACGTCCGCGTGCGGCGTGCGGCATGAGGCATGCGGAAAAACAGAAACCTGTGAGAGGATTAAAGTGACAGTCTCGGCCCGGGAAAGTCCAACAGTTTTTAGTAGAACTCCCCCATATTGCACTCTGCCGACCCCACTCTTGTCTCGCAATCTCTCGAGAGTGTGCGCATAACGAACGACGGAGCAATGAACGACGCAGCGGTGTCGCCAGCGGTGGGCGTAGCGGGACACGGAGGGATGCCAGGAATGCCTGAGTTGCCGCCGGCTCCGGAATACCAGGCCAGTAGTGTGCAGTATTCCGTTGGAGAATCGGATTGTTCCCGCCAAGGCAAACACGTTGAACGTGGGCAGATAGCGCTAACCGGGGTTGTATACTCTGTATCTGTGTTGCTGGTGGGGGGGGGGGGGGTCC